GTTTGTGGATTCTTCTTTGTGACTGGAGAGTGTGAGGACGGTGTTTGTAGATGCGTGGTTTAAAGTGCTAATCCTTCTTTGTGAGTGGAGTATGTGAAGATGGACAGTTGCAACGAGGTTAGGTTAATTATAATTCGTTTCGATATGCAGTTCCTAATGAGATGTAAGTTTTGTTTTGTTCACGGCGTAATGTTTGCTGCATTTTGACGTGATCGATCGAGGTTCATTCGATTGTGTATGGGAGTGAATCGGTATTTGTTCATGCAGTAGTGCAAGAGATGTTAAAACGTTTTCAGTCGTATTTAAATTCATTGACTTGCGATCCAGAAGTTTTACAGCGTAACGTCATGGAATGAGTATCGCACAAGAATGAAGTTGTTCGTCAATGTTAATGTTAGGTCGATTAATTTGTTTAGGAGTGGATGGATAATTGATAAAAGTACCCAATCAAAGGTACTAAACATTAAAAAACATAGCAATTTCAATTCAGAAAATTTCTAATATTATTTTCGACTCGCCCTGTATAATCTCTATAATGTAATAAGTTGAATGAATATAAATTAAAAAAAAAAAAAAAATCTAAGATATGTCGTTCTTTTCGTTTCTGGTAAATTTTTTAGCATGAAAATTAGCAAAATTAGCAGAATTTTCTTACCTTTCTGATCAGCATCACTTTTAAAGGATTCTCCAACGTTTGTTTCGGCGATTGTCGTCGATCCGTTGAGATCGTTCAGCCTCATACTGGAGGATATCGCCTGTATAGTGGATACCTGTGTCTCAGCGCGATTCGCAGCTTCCTGCATGGCTGTGAGTTTGCTCACCAAATGATGATTGCCAAGCAGGACATTCTTCTCCTTTAAAATTTCTAATTGATTGATGAATCGACGGAATTCCTCCTGCGAAAGCAAGAAAAACAACCCTTGAAAACAACGTCCTTTCCGGGAAAAGATTCAGGGGAAAGGACTAGGGGAAAATAACTAGAAAGGAACTGAAGAACTTTCGGTCGCAAATTATATTCCCAGTTAAGTCGAATTTTAAATTTAATTAAAACCAAAATTCCCTAGAACTATCTTCTCGGTCACAAATTACATTCCCAGTTAAGCTTAATTTCAAATTTAATTAAAAGCTAAATTCCCTAGACTCGAGAGAATGTAAGAGAATATATATTAAAAGACGTATTTCAGTTTAAAATGTCTCTTGAGTCTAGTAACTTCTCCTCTCTTGTGAACACTTTGTTGTTTTCGCGCAGGGATTAAAATGGCACGTCGTTTAGTGCGATAAAAGTGTACGTAGAGTGGGAAGTAACAGTTCCCAGGGTACTTAAGCCACTTTTGCGCGGAATGTGAAAAAAAAACGCAGCGGTTAATACGATAAAAGAAACATACTAAGTGATCTGCGCCACTAATTACTATTGTTACGCCGATAAAATAAATGAAATAAAATATATAATGTTCACGAGGATGTAACATTTATAAATAATAATAATAATAATAAAATTTATTGATTTTAAGTGGGAAATTGAAAGTTATAATAAAAAAGTTTGGATAATTTTTAACATACTAAAGTAATGTAGCCTATTTTAGTTGTTGGCATTTATTTTTGAATTAATACGAATGAGAGTATTTTAAGTATATTTTTCACACATTAAATATAAATTTTTCATTTCACATTCTCGTGCAATACGTTCAATTTCAAAGTAATTCAATTAGTATCTATTAGTACGAATAGCGTTCGAAGTGTGAGTCACGTTAATTATTTAATGCCTCCAAAAGTGGGCTTTTTTAGGCCTTTTAACCGGCTGAAGCTAAAGCTCGAAGCTTTCACTGGTTTAATTGGTGGTGCGCAGTTTTCAACGTAATCGTTAACCTAAATTCCCTAGTCCACGATTGTCGCTCCATTACCGCACAACTGTTCCCGTCTGTCTTAAAAGTGATCTTGCCCCTGTCAGTCTTATTGTTAAAGAACAAATTGATTCTTCTGAACATTATTGAAATTTACACAGCATTACATATGTATAAAATCTTACGAAGAAGTTAGAACTAGCAATTTTTTAAAAGATCACAACCTTCCATTCTTTACTTTATTCTGTACATTATTTTTCATTTTTTTTGTATTCCATACGTTGCTATATTTTATGTTATTTTATTTTCTGTTCATTATTTCGGCAAAGAAGATGAATTTTCTTCTTAATAAAATCTACCAATAAAATCAAATCTTAAGTTGTTAAGTTGTTTGTATTAAGTTGGCTACACTTTGAAGGATCTAACCTCTCTTTTAATATACGGTGTAATATTTCAAAATTTTAAAAGGCAATTCCATGAGCTGAGAACGGGAAATTAAACAATAACACTCGATCATTGTTCGCTACAATTTATGGTCGTTGTGCATTTCGTAAATAAATGTTTTATTAGCTTCTGAACAATTTCACGCTTTCCCTGAGGAATTTGTTTCCAGTCGTGTCACATTTCTTGCGGTATATATTTTTCACGAGCTGATAATGAAATTTAATCGAAGAAAAATATATTAGTATACTGACATATTAATTCTTTCATAGTACTGTCTTCCTCCGTTAAGAAAAAATTCGTGGACCTTCGAAAAGAGATAAAACACTGATCAAAATCATAGATTAAAATACGTGACAGTATTTTGTACAAGAAAATATTTATAGATCGTCAATAATCTTCCCTGAATAGTACTTTTGAAGTTCTCGATTTGCCATGCAGAAGCATCTTAGAACGAAATATTGGATACTCTTTGTTATTTATAATTTTATCATGGCCGTTTGTTTCTCTTTCGGCTGTCATCATCATCATATCAGGGGACATTATCCAAGTTTACTCCCACTGCTAAATCGGATTCTCCAATGTCGATGTCGTAATTAACGCGGTATGGTGGCTTATTAATCGGCTTTTCGCACAATAAGATTCGACGGTTCGATGCCTATTAATCGTTATTTGCCACCATGTTGCGTCAATATATGGAGCGTTTAGGTGTACGTGTAAGTTCAATGAATTCTTGCCTGCAACCATATGGCAAGAATTCATTTCGACTGTTTCGTCGTCTTTTTAAAATTCGCGGTTAAAATTTCATTTATTAAAAATTTACTGCAAGATAGAAAATAAAATTGTGGAAAGATTACAATAAATCACGCAGCAAAAAAATACAAATAATATCTAGTATAATTAAATAAAAATATAACGCAGATATATTAAGAATGTTTGATATGATTTCATGTTTCTCTGTCTGCATTTTTAATTGCATTAAACATTATTTTATTTGATATTATTCGCTTTCTCCGATAGCAACTAAAAATGTATTTTTACGGAAAATTCCCTCATTTAATGGCAATGCTTTTGAGAAGTACTCTAATTAATAAGGGATTGAGTGAAAGATTATTTGAGAAGTAAGGGTTCGTTTGAAAGAAGCCAAAGGAGAGAAACGAAGCACAGGAATGGACGTCGACTTTTTGAAATAGTGAAAAGAAAGTGCCAGAAGGCAGGAAATAAGTTTATTAATAAATAAGACTCGAGCTTTTGAAAGATATTACTGCTGGCGATTAATTATTTTGAATGAAACTTTGATTTCTTTCTATAGTTGGTTATCAATTTTTCAATTACTTCAGCTTCTCTTTATAGCTATTAATCTTTTAATTCAATGTTCTCTCAATCTATATTAAAAAAATCTATATTTCTCGTGTCAGTAACGAAAATTTGTTAAACTTGTTAAGCAGTAATATTATTTTAAAGAATACACAAAAATTCGTTTATTTGAAAATTGAAAATTTGCATGTTTAGATACTTCATTATTTTAATACTTGAAAATGTGGATGCTTGAACGTTTGAGTGATTGAGTATTTGCTTTCTCAATTTAAAAGTTAATAAACTGCAGCATTTCATTTGAAAATAAAGGATTCGAATACATTCTCTCTGTAATTAAACATCTTTAAAAATTCAGAAATGAGAGAGCTTCTCGGTTAGTTATTTCGACTTGTACACCATAAGTTGGCAAGCCTGTAGCAGGTTAACAGTAATGAGCGTGCAGCCTGGCTAAAAGCAGGGATTTAGTGTCATGTATACTAAGTTTTGAAAGGGGGAGCATCTCTCCCGACCTGTAGAGTTCGATAACGTCATATTAGTCGTTCCTGTGAAAGCGAAGCCACAATTAATAGAGGATCAAGTAGTAGCAGAGGCTCAATACGCTTTCATCCCTAGCATGCCTTCGGCCAAAGAAAGTCACTAAAGCGTTGCATCGATGCAAAGGGACCTGGTGTGAAATTTAGCCGAGTGCAATTTACCTTTCTGCTTCCCAGAAATGTATATATACTCTCTCTATGAATCGAACTGTATATTCTTTTCACACCTTTAAGATCAAAATAAGTACATTCTTGGAATATTTTCCGCTAGGGATTTTTTCCTAATGATAATTAAGAAGAGTTTGAACATTTTTATGAGAGTCTAGGGACCTCTGAATTATGCTCTAAATTAAGCGTGAATATCTAGGGACTTTTTTAGAACTAAAAAAAACCTACCAGATTTCTTGCAGAGACAGAGGGTAGACAGTTTTATAAAAACGAAGATCTCTGGAGTAAAGAAATTTTGAAAATTTTCTGGGGATAAAGAATTAAAAACAAAACTTTTCCAAGAAATGAACGGATAAGAACATTTTCTAGTAGCATAGAGAAATTTTCGCAGGAACAAAGTGATAGCTCCAGAAACAAAGGATCAGATGAATTTTTCCAAACTGAAAAAGTACAACAAGAGTTTCCATATATATATATATTTTTTTTTTTTAGTTTTTTTATGCGTCGCGAACATAATCAAACAACGTAAAAGCATCATGCCTGAAGCGGAGCAGGGGCGGCAAATTACAGCCACTGAAGGCAACACTCTTCAACGATCGTGTGAAACGACAGGCTATAATCAGTAGTCAAATGTCAAAGCAACCGACGTTTCATCGACCGTGTCTTTCGGGTCGGCGTAATTTCTCTGGCTTTTGGCCAACGACCTGGCAATCTCGCCGATGCGCGCCGAAAAAACCTGCCCGCGAATGACATTTGTCTGTTGTGGACGGCGCGTTCGCTTTTGTCTCGGCGAACACGTAACTGGGTCTGAGTTACACGGATTCTCTGAAATCAGCGGCTCGTGATTTTCACCTGGCTAACCTCTTTTCCAGGACAACGTTCGCGTAAAGTACGAAACCATAGACTTGAAATCCCTTTAACAACCATGGAGGTTATGTTTGTATTCGTGTATGAATACTTTTTCCCAATTTTGCCCTGATTTGTGTTATGAGAGAAGAAATTTGGATACCTGGATTTATTTTTCTAAATTCGAAATTGAATGTGAACTTGTATGTTCAGGTTAGGTTGATTTGTCGAGGGCACAAAAATGGCGTCCAACATAAAATGTCACGCCCGAAATCTCGCGAGGAGTAGTCAATGAATGTTTATATGCCTAGTCTCTCTCAGCAATGATACCAACAGATAAGACAAAATCTGGCCTGTGCTGAATTCAGTCCTTTAATAAGCTTATAGGGTATTACGTTAGGTTTACCAGTATAAGTTTCATAGCCTCTTTAACCGTCTCTTGGAAACTTCATTAGGAGGATCTGCTTGTTAAGCGGATTTCCTCTAAGGTTGTCCTTTATGAGACCCATGAAATCAAACGATTATTTTTAATGGCGACCGCGATCAAAAACACTGCTACTTGATTTTGTATGGATTGTGATAATCTTGTAAGACGGATTGAAATCTGAGGATGAGAGAGGAGCTGGTTAACATCTGTTTTCTACATCTGTTCTCCCCTGCGTCGAGAAGTACAGGATATTATTCACAGTGGAAGTCAAGACTATGAAAAGTAGGAAAACGAAGTTAGGATTCTGTTATCTTAGAAAGCTTTTTTCTTCAAATAGTCTAGAAATTAAGCTACACGTGGCATAATCTACGTGTGACTTAAGCCAACAACTTGTATTCGTCAAAACGACCAAATGTCTGAATACTTGAATTCCCAAATTTAAATCCTAGCTCTCCGAATATCCAAATATTTAAAATTTGAACATTCTTTCACATCGAGATCTTCAAATTTTCATCGACAAAGTAGAGAAATCCAAGGATAAACTTTCTCACATTTACATGTAACTTTCTGTTTCCCTTCTAAAAAAAAAAAAAAAAA